CCCCAAAACCCCAAAACCCCAAAACCCCAAAACCCCACGATCTTTGATAATAGTTTGAATTTCAAATATTAGAAATTATAAAGTATTCAAAATGCAGAAAGCAACCAACTCAGATGACATCGAAAAGCAAATGGAGGATAAGATACTCTAATATCAAGTAAAATAATGCAAGTTAAATTCTCATAAAGTAAAAAATCAAATAACAAGACAAGGAAAAGATCTAGCCAATCACTCTCTCGCTGATTTAAAAATACTCATTCACGAGAAAATTTAGACAAGAGCTTGACTCGCAATCAGATTCTAACTCTACTGTAGCTAGTGAGACAGCATCTTAATAAGATGATACTGAATCAATTCATTCAGAGGCATTGTCAACATAACCTGAAAATCAAAAGTAAGACATACTGTTTGATTCTTGATAGTGCTGAGAAAATGATTTACCTTAAAACTATTAGATTAGGTTTTCTCTATCTAGGACCAAAAGTTGAAAATCTAGGTAACTTATTATTGCTATAATTTGAATAGAGATCTTTGAGCATATCGAAAGTTTATATTTGTAGAACAATAAGTTATAGGAGATAGGTAGAGGACTTGAGATGAACACTAAGATATAATTCTTAGCACTTTAGCATAATTAGCTGACAAGAATTGAAGGAATAAAGCAATTAAAATAGCTTAGCTTTCTAGACATTAGCCATAATAAAATAGATAGGCTTGATGTTTTAGAATTGCCAGAAAACATTCTAATGCTGAAAGTATTTGAAAATCCATTTTGTAAAGCTCAAACTGATCACAGAAAACAAATAGTTCTTCATCTTGAATAATTGGAAGAGTTAGATAGAATTAAGGTAATCTAAGCTGAGAGATTATCCTATAAAGGTCTGATAAAATGTGATGTAGACAAGTTACTTGAGAAATATAGAAATGATAGGCAAATGAAAGATGCTAAAGAAAGAATGGAATAAGAAATGTATTTGGAGTATATGGACGAGATTGGAGTCCCCAGTTCTGAGAGAATGATGAAGAGTTTAGATGAATTCGCCAAGATGGATGAGTTCAAGTAACTGCACAAATAATTCCAGGATATTATGAAAACCTAAAAGGAAAAATCTGATATTTAGGATAACAAATCCGACTAGCTAAGGAAAGATGTTGAGAAGCAGGTTGATGAGGTAATGAAAAGATACAGCAGATAAGGTTCAAGAAGAGATGAGAGAATGAATTGAATTTATACTATTAACTATACTCGGATAATTCTGATAGCATATGTTAAAAATTTAATGAATAATTCAATAGCTTCATTAATAAGTATTTTTCTATAATAATCATCAGATCAGGTGATATTCATTTTTCTAATCTTTGCTTGCTTCGGGTCCTACTGTTTCTCCTAGGAGATTCTTCTTCTTCTTAGTCTTCACCTTCTTTTTTACCTTTTTAGTCTTTCTCTTGCTATTATTCATTTCTTATACAGCACTGCTCATATCTATTCCAAATTTACTGTGATCAGCATCTTCATCATCATCTTCTTCGTCCTCATCTTTCTTCATCTTTGCATCCTTATTTTTAAAGAAGCCTTCTTTAGCATTTGCATTATCTGGAGTTACTAATGCTTTAGGATCAAGTTGTGTCTTGTGACCATCAATAGGTGGTAGTATAGCATTATTATTCTTCTAATTCATTTTGTTACTAGACTGGAAAACAGGAATATTTGTTTTCTTGTCATCATTTATTCCCAGAGGCATAGTAAATTAATTATTCTTGATAACAATAGGCTATTGACTCGGGGTAAATGAGTCAACAATTGGAGGTGGTGCTTGCTCTTTAATTGGTTCTGATCTTTTCTTCAAGATAGAAATTTACTCTTCTTGAACAAAGTTTTACTTTGTCTGTTTCATTTTATCCACTGCTGCTCCTTTCCTATAGAATATACTTAAAATAGTCATCCTAATTTTGTCCTCTATTTCTTGGGTATATCTTTAAGCAAATTCAGCTCTATCTAGAACATGATAAACATTTGCTATAATTGCAAAAGCAAAGTAAGATAAACAATACACAGAAACCATTAAGATTGCTCCCCATCCAAAATTAAATGCTTTTTCGGGATCATTAGTACTTCCATCAAAGCTAATACTATAAATTGATATTAGGAAGGGGAAGAGTTATGAAATTAAGCTTAGAACATTATTATAAGTAGATTAGAATGGCCTTGCAGAGAAAACATATATTAAAAACATTGCTTATAGTAAAGCTACTGCTAGTGCTTAAAGTACTGGATCATCAATAAATAGTGCTGTAATTATAATTTGAATAAATCTTTTCCAGCAATAAAGTGGGTAGTATAGTAGGCAAATTTACTTGGCTTTAAATGGTTTGAGTATTGATAAATATTTCTTTAAGAACCTTTCATTGTGGTAATGGCTGCCAGCCTTTACTGATATTAAAGTTATGGAGTAAAGGAAAAAGAATATTGTTGCCAAAACAAAGAATGCGCTTGAAACAGATGCTAATTTGAAGGGTAGAGTTTTCTTGATATTTTAAATCTCAATGAAACTTGCTTGACCAAAAGGCATCAAGCAACACATGAAGAAAGATATAGTGGATGAGAATAAGAATTGATTCATCACTTATTCACTTTTCTTATGGCTTATTTTCCTTTTTATGCATGAAAATATTAGGAAGAGAAGAGTATATGTGAACCATATTAGTATTTTGAGGTTGTTATTTACAATGAAACTGTCTGCATTCAAATCTATATAGAATTATAAACTCATTTATTTTACTTAGAAATTGATAGTTGTCAGTATATATTCCCAGCTAGATTTAGTTCATATCCATAAATTTATCCTGGAAACTATTCTATATCATATTTGGAAATTCAAGCTGAAGCCATGTGAAGTATTTCCAGTAAAATTTCATGTCAAGAGGGTAGTCGAAACTGTATAAGAGAGTGTAAAGCATCTCTTACATTCCAAAGAAAATGAGGAAAGCAGGTTGATTGCTTGAATTGCTAAAATATTTACTCAAAGATTAAGATACTTACTATTTTACAGAGAGAAAACTAGTCATTCCAATTATAATTATAATGGCTAAATTATTGATGATTCCCATACTCTTGATCGCATCTTTCTCAGTTTAATCCATTTCAGGGAAGTTTTTACCTATATACGTGAATGCATCTGAATAGGTCGAGAGCTCATTCAGTCTAGTGTCAAAGATTTTACCACTTTTCTTATAAATCATTCTAACTTTAGAACTTTTTTCTTTTCCTTGTAAAAACTCATTAATCTTGAGCTGAACAAATATTTTCTATGTAGGCATTTCTTATATTTTTTAGAATAATGCTTCAAAGTTGCTGACGTAAGTGCCATCATACTTTTGTATCTAAATCTCAATATCCTCTTCAGTCAAGTCGTCAATAATAAATGCTGGCTTCGAGAGGATTAAGATAATGTTATTATTTTCAGTTGATTGCAAGGATTCAATATTAATTTGAGATAACTTGCAAGTATCTGCAGTGGTTTTGGATCCACCTGAGCAGGTCCAATCAGTTTCAATCTCGCAAGAGCCTGAGCATCCATCTCCATCAGAATTATTACCATCATCACAATCAAATAAACCAAAGTTTTTACCATCACCACAAATCTCTACACACTAACCTGAGGATCCAATAATCATTCCGGTTGCATCACATGTACTGCAGGTGCTGTCATAGAGATACTTACCAAGAACACATGAAGTGCAATCGGTGCTGCTTCCACCCGCACAAGTATAGCAACTTGAATGGCATGATGAGCAAATAGAGCCTGCTGAATATTGAGTAGGATCACAACCCTTGTTTAAATAATCTAGTTGATAAACAGGCTCTATCAATTTATTTGTGTCAAAGTGGCATTAGTGATAGGAAGAGTCCTTCATATAGCCGTAAGGACACTCTTCCAGACATTATTTACCAGCAAATAGATAAGCATTAGTTGAGCAAACTGGACAGTTTGAATTAGTAGTGTCTAGACACAATGCACAATTCTTATTACATGCTTGACACTAGTTACTAATCTAAACAAATCCTGCAGCACAAGAACATGTAGGAGCTGTTCCAATTAAGTTTTTAGTTGTATCACAAGCACTGCATGTTGCAGCAGTTCCAAAGCAGTAAGAACATTTCCAATCACAAGGTGTACAAAGATTGTCTAATGTGTTAAACCCACAAGAGGAAAAGCATTAGTTTGTAGTCTTATCACAAATATTACAAGAAGTTGTCTTCCCATTAGCAATACAGGCTAAATTTGTAAAATTAATGAAAATTACATGTTGAAACAGTAGGAGAAGTTAATTAATTGCAAAAAGTGCCAGCTTTTATTCTGAATTTTCTAATTACTCCTTGAAAGTTTGACCCTATTACATCCTTTTTAGTACCAGCGGCAGTACTATCAATAAATATAGAATTTACACTAGTTGTAGCTAACAATGTGTTGTCAAGATAAACTTTAACTTGAGAAATTCCTACTGGCTTGGTATATGAGTGGCTATCCTAATAAGTTTTTACCAAAGTTACAGCTAGATATCTCCAATTAGTGCTTAATGTCCAATTAACGAAGAGGTTGACTTCCTAATTATTTAGTCTAATTTTTAGAAGGGTATAGTCTACTGCTATCTCAAGTTTATTGGAATCTTATCGAATAGCTTGATAAATATACTAAAGATCTCCTTATGTCACTGAGTTATTGAAGTCAAATCTAAACCATGTTTCTACAGTTATTCCATTTGGAATAGGAATCGTAGGAGTTTATTTCAAGAGAAAAGAGGTAGAAGAAAATCTCATCCCTTAAAAAGGAATCCTAATTGGGTCTCCATCTGATGCACCAACAGTAACAGTATTACCTTGCAAGAAATCATATGAATTTCCTGATGTATCAGTTACTGTCTATGCATCAATTTCTAGATCTAAGTCTAGAATAGTTAATGATCTTTAATCAAAGCACTTGCTATCTACTGAAGGGCATACACTACAGCTGCCAGTACAAGTCATTTTCACTTCAAATGCAAGCTAGACACTTGTTAATGCCTTATCTTCCCATATTTTTAATTCGAAAAAGTATCCTGAAAGTGGTTTATTGCAGTTTGAATAGGAATCAAATTGACAACCTATACTCAAAATATTAGAAGAAGTTGAAGGATCTGGTGTGCCCACTACTCCATATATTCCATCTAAAATAAAGGATTCGGATTTAAAGGGTGTAGCTGCTACTTGACCAGTATAGGCGTCATTACTGGCAAAAAGGGTAATAGTAGAATATTGAAATAATTCTGAAACAGTAATAGCAAACCATGTCCACCCTGATTATGCCTTAAAACCTTATATTTAATTGCTTTATTCAATCTGATCTATTTTTGCAGTGACAATAAAGTTTGAGTCCTAATCAACTTCTAAGCAGAGGAATGTTATCTATGGATCTACTTGAGAATTCTAAGCAAAATTAATATGTAAAAAAATTAACTTTTTTGCAGAATATGGTGTATGATGTAGTAGCGCAAGAATAAAACCATCCAGAAATGGTAAAACTTGTTTAAGTGAAGTGCACAGCAACAGAAGTATCAACTTTTACTTTCGAAGCAGAAATTGGTAATCCCCAATTTGTAGTTGATTCATAAGTATCTAAGATGATAATTTATGTATGACTAAATATAAATACCTATACCAAAACTGTAGTCATTGTTGCCTGGATTAAGGGTATCTTCAATTTTGCTGACGCTTAAACTACTAAACTTATAATATCGATTCGGTGTGACTATATTAACTAATGATATGTATGGATACCTTATCCTAGAGTATTTATAGTTAATAGAAAAATAATAATTGTTATCTAAAGGATTTAGCCTTGAATTTACTCCGTTTTATGTTTGCAATTCTATTAATATCTCATTTTATATTAATTATAATTAATTCGACCGATTTTTATGAAAATCCAATTCTGGGGTTTTGGGGTTTTGGGGTTTTGGG